TACCACAGCAGCCCAGTGATCAGTGCTTTTGAGATTTTTCTGAGCTCCACCCTCACACATTTTTGGCACCTTCTAATCTACCCAGGGGCACCCATTCCCAATGCCCCTTATCAATCTTCCAGGGACAAGGAGGTGAGAAACAATGATGATCTAAAGCATCCACTCACTATCATTCAAGATGGGGCTAAGAACTTCATGAGTCACCTTCAACCCAGGAAAATCTCACTATAGAATGTGCAAGAGAGGATGGTATAATTTCTCCCTCTGGAATCATTCATGGGGACATTGGAGTTTCTGCATGCCGCAACTGGTTTTCTCTTTCTACTTTCAAATACTATCTACTTTCAAATACTTATCATTTGAGGAATTTAAGACCTATTTTTAAAAATGAACTGTAAACATATTTTGTTTTAAACAACTATTTAAACTGCACTGTATTTTTCATTCTTAGATAGAAACATTGTGAATTTTTACAAACTATGTTGAGAAGTTTTTATGTCTTGTGGTTCAGAATATATGTTTATAAACTCTAGGGCTCAATCTCAATGTAATTAACATATTGTAACTTGGTTTTAGTGCAAAATCATTAAAATCTTTAATAAGGTGATACTGTGCAGCTGTTTTTGTTCTATTATATAAATGATGGCTTTCTGTCTTGGAAAATGAGTATTCATTAAATCAGTCTGTCCCCACACTTTTTAAACAAAGTCATAAATGCTTTGGGGAGAACAAATTAGTGTTCAACCATCTTTTAGAATATAAATCCCAAGTGTTTCATTGTCAGACTGTGAAATAAAAGAATTCAAAGGCAACTATTCTTTATGATAATCTAGACTGTTTATTTGATTCCAGGTAACTTTGGACAGTAGACATGGAGAGATGTTTTCTCTTGAATAAATAACAGTTAAATTACATCAACAAAATAAAATATACTGTGAGCTTAATACATCGTAAATATTATAGAAGCACTACTTTGCTATAGTAAGTTAATGACTGAAGCTACATTTAGTAACAATCTTACTAGTACTTGTATACAAAGTATTATACACATTACTAACAAAGATATTACAGCAGTTGCAAAGATGTTACCGGCTCAACAAACATCTAACAATACAATATTCTTCTAAGAGGAAAAGTAATAATACTAGATTTACAGACAATAAAGAGTTGTGTTTTCTACTTGATACACTGGAAATAAGAAGCCAGATCATCTGGTGTCTCGATTCCTATTATTTCATGAAAAAAGCTTTCTTTCTTGGGGACTCCGATCCCCAGGAGACTTAGTCCATAAGTTTACATGAAGAGAGGTTTTAGGATACCACAGCAATGGAAAGAAAATCTCCTGTCTGAAAAATCACTGATTTGTAAACCACTGCTTACACATCTGACTTTTTAAAGGACCTATTTACATACATTCAGCCCAAACCAGTAGATAGAATGTTTTGTCTATATTACAATAGGCATTGTTAACATTTTATCAGGCCAGTGCAAGACAATTGTGAATAGCCATTGCCCAGCATTTAGGAGATTGTTTAATATCATACAAATGTACAGTTAAAAGTATGAGGAATCTAATTTTGCACATGATATTGGTGGTCTCTTTTATGGAGATGGAGTGGCATGAAAGAATCAACAGGACAGGAACTAGAGTGCTATTCGTGAGGGACCTGACTCTCCTCTGGTGAACGAGCCTCTTTCCTGCAGAGTGGGCTTAGCAACGTACCAACCTTCTTTGACATTTCATCCCAGATAAACCTGACGCAAAACACCAGAGAGGCTTGGAGCTTGTCTCAATTGCAGACTTATCTCTACAAGCTCTCCCCAGTTCGTATTTCTTTTACATATATTTAGTATGTAATGACCAACTGAAGCTTCTTGGAGACAGCATTACTGGTCTAAATGCAACTCTAAGCTAGGACTGAATCATCATTATTCTGAAGCAGTAGAGCAGGTTAGGATTTGGCCCCTTCTAACGACAAGTGATGGTATAAGACTTGGTGAGGAGACGCGCATCATCCTCAGAGGAAAGCATGACAAGTCTGATGCCAGAGCTTATAAATACTTAAATTTAAATCATATTTAAATTAATGGATCTAATTAAGGAACTAGCAAATGAATGATACTAATGAACAGTAATTCTAATGAGGATATTCATTGGGGAGGCCACTTTAGTCACTCGGGTTAGGAAATGATATGAGAAATGTCAAAATGAATCCAAGTAATTTTAATGTTTTTAAATGAAGGTCGTATAACATATACATGATGATATTTCACAGATATTTCTTAGAATATCAATAAGCACCATGTTTAGTGCTGTCAGCCCCATTGTCCCTTAATTTATTATATGTGATTTAAGTTTGAAAGCACAATGCACTAGAAAATCTACATGGCATTCACACAAATACAGTTTCAAAAAGGAATCTTGGAATTATTTTTATATCTGTAATAAGAATTTCCTCTTCAACAAGTCTTCACAGCTGTGAGAAGAGAGTTGGTACTGCCTGGTGAGCTCAGAGATGTGGATTAAGATTCAGGATGATGCAGGACCAAAGACTGGCAAGTCTAAACATGGAGACTAGACCCTGGATAGGATTTGGTTGATGCAGTCTCCCCTTTCATGGCAATTATATCACTCTTCCAGCAGCACCCTAAGCCCTCATCTGCATTTCACAAGAGGTAAAGTGAGAAAATCTGCAGGCAGACTCCAGATTGACCCACAAGTCACTATCTACCTTGGCCATCAACCTCAAGAAGGGCACCACCCTAGCAGGCTGGATACTGGGATAGGTAGAAATCACCAGGTAGATTTTTTTCCATTTCACTTCCTGCCACTCAGGCCCCAGAGCCCAGCCAGAGTCATGCTCTACCTGTGTAAGAAGTAGAGACTGGCTGTTTGTAAGCAAAATTTGTCAGGGTCAAGTGGCTTTTTACATAGTTTCTTTCATTGTTGGAAAAGGGATCCAATTGTGAGTATTCATGCCCCAAGGAATATGAGGCTGGAGCATAAAAAGCAATCAAGCAATGCCATGCGCATCTTTGTTTTTTTGTCAGTCATGGGACTTGAACTCTGGGCTTGGGCACTGTCCCTTAGCTCTTCAGCTCAAAGCGAGTGCTCTACTGCTTGAGCCACAGTGCCACTTCGGCCATGCTCATCTTTATGCTTTGATATGTCTTGCTAAGTGAGCAGAGGAGAAACGTATTCCTATCCCCATCTCATGTAGACAAAGCTGGGTGCTGGGCTGTCACCAGAGGCATCCGGGAAAAGCACAGAAGCAGCATATGTTACCCAGGCCTCAATCCCAAGTGTGCTGCTCTTCCCTGCCCTTTTCTGTCTCACTCACTGTCTGATTCAGCCTCATTAGCCACATGGCCACGATCTGGTAGTCCTACTTTAACATGATGTGCATAGTGCTACTTAAATTGGGATTCAAACTACCTGCATGCACAATTGAAGACGGCTTCTGTACTGAGCTTTTAGATCTATGTTCCTTTTAATGGTTTATATCTCCATGAACTTGATCAATATTAGGTTCTGAGAAACCCACGCACTCTCATATCCCTACCGTGACACTGGAAATATCAACCTTTACTGGAATTCCTGCCACTGGTGATTCCTTGGTAAACACTGGTCTTCTGTAATACTTAAAGTCCTTAGTAATCCTTGACCCGATCTCTTAGGGAAATAGATTGTCTGAATGGCTATAGTCAGAATTGTTATTCAACAAGATTTCTGGAAGAACTCAACTTTCAAAACTGAATTCATGTACAAGAGTTAAGCAAGTGGTAGAGTTTACACTTGGTCACAGTTTTTTCACTTTATGACACTGCTGCAACAGTTACAAGATAGAAATACACACATACACACATTTACAGTCACATTCACACAAAGCACAATTTTACTGATCCAGACAATATGTCTTTGCAATTAAGAACAGAATGAAGACTGTTGTTTGGCCACCCAGGCATGAAATCTACTTATAACCTGGAATATAGGAATGCAATACTCTTCAAGTAAACAGCAACTGCACAGTGAAAACAATATACATGAAGACTGACACATGCTGTCTTAAGAGGTTCAGGAATAGCTAACAACTAAGGAAAGTCAGAGATGTCAGTCAAAAAAGTCAATATGTTTTTTTCCTTCCTTTCTAATTATAATCGATTACCCTCACAGAACAGCTATAGTCTAGAAGATAATAATGTCCTCTCATGAAAACACAGGACTAGTAACTTTTGAAGTGTCAGTGAACTCAGTTCAGGACTTTATATCATCTTCAAATTCTTCTTGTGTTCACAGAAAAAAAAATAAATAAAACACCATGATTCCTTCAGTGTCAATTTTAAATAGAGATATCTCAAGAACTACAAAGGTTTCTAAAGTTCTCTCCTGGGCAAATAGTGTTTTATCCAAAATTGTCTCACTGGCACATACGCGTTGCTGTGCTCCAGTTTTCACAGCAAAGTCTCCCTTTTGGTTTGGCTAAACCTAGACAGAAATAACACAGAGTAAACACGGATACACAACTCACAGGACACAACACATCTTACAAAATAGCTCTACATTAATTCTATCGCTATTGTAAAAATGGACATCTCTGATACTAGACGGACACATAGCAATGAAAGTTGTGGTTACCAAGCCATTACTCACTTGATAGCATTTTTCTATGGGTACTTAGACTCTAAATTGTGTAGCCAAAGGTTTCCTTCTTATTAAACTAAGACTTTGAGGGATGGCACACGCAGAAGCAACAGGCTTTCTTTACTGTTAAACCCCTGGAGTACAGAGTTGGAGAACCTAAACTATTGAAAGGTCAGTAGACTGACCAATGAGCATGGTGACTGTCACTTTTTCACTGAGCATGGTAAACTTAAAAAATATAACCGATGAGACAACACACTCTTCTAGATTTTGAGCTGAGAGAGAGAGAGAGAGAAGTAGAGAGAAATAGAGAATAGAGAGAGGGTGACAAGGGAAAGAGGGAAAGAGAGACAGAAATTTCTTTTCCAGTGCTGCCAGCGAGGCCTTGGGCTCACAGAGCCTCAGCAGAGGTGTCTGTGGACACAGACATGGTCACCTTGGCGATCTTGACCGTGCTTTTGATGCAGCTTTCCGCAGCCCTGTGGACGTTGGCCGTGTTGTTGGCATGCTTGTGCAGGCAGTCCGAGTCCCCCATGCTGTTGTCCAGGGGCTGTGCGGTGCCTTCACAGGAGGGGAACATGCTCCGGAAGGCGTGTCTCAGGTCCTTGCTTCTCAGAGCGTAGATGATAGGATTCACGGTGGAGTTCAGCAGGCAGAGCATGCTGCAGAAGGCAAATACCGTCTTAATGAGCTTGTTCATCTTCCCGAAGACGTCATACACCATGATCGCAAGCAGAGGGCCCCAGCAGATGATCAAAACTACCAGGATCAGGACGAGGGTCTTGGCCAGCCTAATGTCCATGCGGGCCTGGTCCGGCCGGGTCACCTGTACCTTGCCATCCTCTGATGTGTGGATTATAATGCTCTTCTGGGTTCCACGCTGAATCATGCGGACCGCGTGGCTGTGAGCCTTCCAGAGGATGTACATGTATGCATACACGATGAACAGCAGCAGCACACTGGTGACCCCAATCCAGAACATCAGGTAGGTTTCGTCAATGAGCGGGAAAATGTCTGAGCACACGGATTTCAGCTTCTTACAGTTCCAGCCCAGGAGAGGCAGCACGGCAATCACAATAGCTATGGTCCACATCAGGCAGAAAGCCACCACAGCCTTGGGCCTGGTGACGATCCTTTTATAGGCCAGTGGCCTGTGAATGGAGATGTACCTGTCGATGGCGGTGAGGAACAGGCTGCCTACAGAGGCGGTGAAGGAGGCCGTGACCCCACCCAGTTTGAACAGAAACACATTGGGGCTGTCTTTGCGGTGGAACACGTGGAAGTCAACGAAGCTGTAGACAAATATGACACTCCCCAGCAGGTCTGCCACGGCCAGGCTGCCGATGAAGTGGTAGGAAGGCCTGCAGCGGAGGCTGCGGGAGTGGAGGATGACACACAGCACGAGCAGGTTCTCCAGAACCGTGAAGGTGCCCAGTGTGAGGGACAGTACGGCGATGGCCAGCTGCTGACTGGGGTTGAGGATCATGAAGCACTCCATGTCCATGAAGTTCTCCCCACACTGGATGTTCTCGTCATTCTCCTTATAGGACGACAGGGACTTGTTGAAGAATTCTGTGAGGTTGGCTGGGTCTGAGACCAACTGGGGACTGTCTCCTGCAGTCATCTTTTCTTGGAAGGGACTGCCCCTGAAGGAGGTCAGAGGGAATTTCTGCGGGAAGTACCCTAATTTGGATGCCATGTCGCCTTTGATGTCTTCGTACTGGATGTCATTCGAGCCCACATACAGGAGGTCTGTGGTGATGGTGCGGAAGGTGGTGTCTGCAAGGCCATCTAGGATCGACTTCATAACCTCAGTCTTTGATTAGGCCAGACTCAACGGGACTGAGAAAGAGACCGCAGGAGGGAAGCCTACCGGGAGGGAAAACAGAGAAGCTGAATGGTGAGCAAACCAGGACAACAGTAAGCAGAAGCACTGTGGCCATCACACGCATGTGCTATCAGGCAGTTTCTTTTCTGTTTCTGAACATGGTTCAAGCCTTTGTGTTCTCAGTCAACACAATGAGAGCCCCTCCCTTACTACCAGGCAATGGAACAGCCTACACTAGACCCATCACTCTCGTTACTTATGCTCTCTGGATTGAAGTCACTGTGTGAGTCCTGAATAGACACACAGGGTCATATAGGCCAAATCACATGCAATGTCTCTTGGGTGAGATGTGCATTTCTGAGCAAGAGTTTGCCTCTCAGTCTCTACCATCACCCACACAGCATCCTGTGCTGATGTGGCTACAGAGAGAACACAATCCCTACTACAGAAGACACTTTGTTAGACAGGTAAAGCAAAATGTATCGGACACGGGACAGTGTAGAGGAGAAAGACAAGAACTAAGGACTGTGAAAACAGGGGTTATATTGTGGGGGAGGGACAAAAAAGCAACAAAGAAATCATCTTATAAATATGTTAGAAACAATTGCAAGAAAGAAAAAACATTTGAGTCCTTATTTTGGGGTTCATTTTGCCTAACATCAACTCATCTGATCATTTCTGCTTGTCTCAGACATATACTAGTTATTGCAAATAAGGGAAACCATGGGACCTATGTTTCTTTGGGCCTGGCTTACTTCTCTTAGTATAATTTTTCCAATCTTTTCATTTCCTAACAAATGGAGCAATGTCATTCTTTCTGATGAAGGCATAGAATTCCATTGTGTATATATACCACATTTTCTTGACCCATTCATCCCTGTTTTCACTGTATTTGATGTTGGTATAATTTGTTCATCCCTGTTTTCACTGTATTTGATGTTGGTATAATTTGCAGAGGGGAAGGGAAAAAACAAATTGTTTAAGTAGGGATACAGGTGGACCCATTGCAACAATGAGATGTACAAGACGTTATGTCAAAAAACGAACTTTATAACTTTGGCAGAGGAGGAGGAGAGGGGGGGTGGGGGGAGGCAGGGGAGATGGGAAGGGATGGGAAGGGGAAACAAAGGAGGAGGCTACAATGCTTGATAAGAAATGTACTCATTATCTTGCCCATGTAATTGTAACCTCTCCGTACAATATTTTCACAATAAAAAATTTAAAAAAAAAGAAACGTACTCATTACCTTGCCCATGTAATTGTAACCCCCCTGTATGGTATTTTCACAATTAAAAAATATTACAAGAAAAAAAAACTAAGGACAAGTGGAACCTATGGAGAGATCTGCTCCTGTTCCTCATCCACAGACCCTCTGTGGCTGAGCTGAACTTCTAAAAAGTCAAGGCCAACCAAGAAAAAAAATAATCAGAAAATGCCAAACTGGCACTAAGGATTAGGGAAGGCCAAGGTCTTTGGTATCAGGGAAGATGGTAATGGAGGGTGCTTCAGACAGCATCCGCCTCAAGTGCTGTGGTGACAAGTATGTCAAGGTCTGGCACCAAGGCTCGCAATGATGGCACTGAACACAAGGATGATTAGGAAGAGGGGACCAAATTTTAAGAGTCATATAAATGCTTAACAGGTGGCTATTTATTTCTTTAGTTTTCAAGAAATCTAAGTTCAGAGTGATAGCTCTCACGACTAAAGTAAACTCCAATACTTTACTATTTGTCATTTGTTGTTCTTATATATAATACTATTTGGGAATAGAAGGGAGAACCACTCTCGTGGGATATATTTTAAAATTTTAGGTCTTCTACTGTTTGAATCAACAATTCTTGTATGACCCTTTCAATAAATTATGGACTACCCACTGTCCACCAGGTACTTTATCAGACACTAGTGTCTGAGCTGCATGATAGAAGAACTCATTGCTCACAGGAAGTACGCCACCTAGTATGAGTTCCACCTGGGAAGGGCAAAGGTGCTGTGCAGTAACCAGTCTAGGGGTCGAAGGAGGCTTTCCTAGGGGAAGGATGTTTATGTAAATATAGTTAGGACTTATGTGGTAGACACAGGACACAGAGTGAAAGAAAAGAGTTTCAAATGCACACGTTGTGTCTTTTAAAAGAGTGAGAGAAAGAAAGAAGGAAAGAAGGAAAGGGAGGGAGGGAGGGAGGGAGGGAAGGAAGGAAGGAAGGAAGGAAGAAAGAAAGAAAGGAAGGAAGGAAGGAAGGAAGGAAGGAAGGAAGGAAGGAAGAAGGAAAAGCAATTTGAAATGGATGAGCTAGATGTGGCCCACCTTGTACATTTTTCCACCTCCATGTCCAGGCCATCATGATTGCTTAACAGAATTGGGTTACTGACCTTCCAGCCCGTTTTCCTGCCTTTCTCTGGGCCTCACTCTTCTAATCACTGCTACATTCCCGCTGGTGTGCTCTCTGTAAGATGGATGGCTGATTATGTGACCCCCTTTATCCATGTCAAGTGTACCCTAAAGATCAAACAGCGTCCTCTTCCAGAGCAGGCTTTTTCAGATTCTGTCTATCAGCCTGACGGAGCTCCTTTCAGATTCTAGTACTCACTCTCTTGCCCCAATCCTCCCCACATTCTGTTCTCCCTAAACACAAAGCTTTCCTCTTCCCACCTTCTGCACCCAAGGGCAAAATCCCATAAAGCTGCTCTGTGGTATATTTGTTTGTGTCTCTAGCTCTTACTTCCACGCTTAGGTCTCAGCACATGGATTCTACCTCCATAAACACATCAAATTATTGGGCACAAGATACAACAAATAACTGCTAATAAGAATAAGCAAACAATGTAATTGTAACCCCTCTGTACAGTATCTTCACAAATAAAATAAAATTAAAAAAAAAAGAATAAGCAAACACCAAAAGGATTACTTTTCAGTTTGGTGCCTTTGTTCCCACAACCTCAATACTCTTTTTTTTTTTTCCCTCTGTTGGTCAACTCCTCCCATAAGGTTATCACTTCTTTCCCTACTTCCTGCTTTCCAGGGTCAGATGACCTATATCCTCTTTGGGGCTCTCAGAATAACAAAACAGAGTTCTGGGGCTGGGAAGGTGGCTCAGTGGTAGAGTGCTTGCCTTGCATGCACGAGCCCCTGGGTTTGATTCCTCAGCACCACATAAGCAGAAAAAGCTGGAAGTGGAACTGTGGCTCAAGTGGTAGAGTGCTAGCCTTGAACTGAAGAGCTGAGGGACAGTGCCCAGTCCCAGAGTTCAGGCCCCATGACCAAAAACAAAATAAAACAAAACAAAAAAAAACCCAGAGTTCTGTCATGGCATTTACTAAAAGTTTCAATATTTCTCATTTTGCATTTCATATCACAAAGAAGAGCATACACTCATTGAAGGTCATATTGGGGACCTTATCTACCTGGGTTTTTAACTGTGAATAATGTCTGGATATAAGAAGGGTTGTACATAAGTTGATTGGCTAAATGTATGTGTGTATACATATGTCTATATACAGGTATACATACATATGTGTACCTATATGTCTATATGTGCATGCATATGCATAGGTGTGTATGCATATATACATATAAATATATAAATATGCATATAGGTATATGTATATTTCAAACAGAATCAAAAAAGTTCTATTCAAGGTGGATGATGAGGGGTTCTTGCAATCATAATAAGAAATAAATAAGTATGCCATTTGAATCAAGATTTCTGTCCTAAAGAACGGCTCAATCTTTTTGTGCTAGGAAAATGTCCTATTGAGGTGAGGTTATTAGCATTCCAAATGAATCTGTCTACATAATGATCACCTAGTCTACATATACAAGAATGACCTATATGACACAGGCAACTGTGGCCAGAAAGACAAATGAGAAGAGCAGAACCACCACACCTCAAAGTGAACTACACTCCTGGGACAGGTGGGCCAAAATACCTCCTCACACCTCCTTGGTTTTGAAGGCCTTCTTCCTGATCCAGTGACAACAAGGAGTTACTGCCAAAAGAGAGCCTGAATCCTCAGTTAGTATTCTGTCATCACTCAGGAAATCGAACTTGCCTCCTTAGTCTGGGTTTGCTTTGCACACTGTCTCTGCACTGGCATAGAACAAGGCTCATGATAGCCATTAACTGCTTGAGAAGAGGCAGGAATTCCAGGGCACAAACCACGAAATGCCACTGCAGCCCAATTGGGACAATGGTTCGGGGACAAAGGCTACTTGCTGAGGATGTAGAAATGAAGGATACGAAAGAAAAAGCTCAGTAGCCAAGCTGGGTACCAGTGCTTGCTGATTCTGTTACTAAAAAACTCTCTTCAGATGGTTTCAACCAAGTTTCAAGTGTGTTTGGAGCGCTTATTTATCCATCTGTCCTATTCTTGTTTACATTCTTATTCCTTCAAGAACACACCCTTTGCATCTCACTAACAGGCTATATCTCAGAAGTCAACTCTTAGTCTTTGTAAACTTGTCTCGTAGTCTCTGACTACACCACACACCTTTGGCCTTCCTCCTTCCTTTGGCCCCTCTCTCTATCTAAACACTCATTTCCAAGCCTTCTTCCTATGATACTTCTCTTTCTAGGCCTGTGCCACTGCTACTTCAATGCCAGAGACCTTGCCAATCAGCCTGTGCCAGGCATAACTAGTTGCGCTGGTTTACCCTTCTGCCAAGGACTCATACTATTATTTATTCAGGAGTCTGCATATTTACTTCCACAACTAGAAGCAGCTTCCAAACAGAGAATGATATCTCCCCCCGGCCTCCCCCACTCCACTTAGGTAGTTTGTCAGCCTGAGAGCAGGAGAGACATCTGGAATCCCCCAGAAATGTTCAACCTGAACCCAGTAAGAAGACAGCTCAATCATATTAGCTAGTACACTCAAACAGTTATTGAATCATACTTATTTGCCTTTTCTTAAAATTAGAGGAGAGAAAGACAACTCAGTAGACAACTGGCTTGAAAACCATATTTGAAAGCTCATATTTCAAGTAGTTACTGGTAATTTTCCACAGCCTCTCGTCCATGTCATTGTCCCTCAAATTATGAACCCC